TCTTATAAGAGTCAAGTATCCCCATATATGTATATATATATTTGGTGAATTACTATGATATAGTGTAACAAAGGACTAAAATATTAGGAAGATAAAAGAAAAGGTAAATCAACAGTGAAGCAAGAGTCAACCACAAGAGGAGGCGAGTGGAGTTAGGAGGCTGGTACTAGTTACTTTTTTTTATATTGCAATCCTTCTTAGTCAAAAAATACTTGTAACGACCTGAACCCGGGGGTCCGAACCATTAACCGGGTCCTTACTCGAACCCGAGGTCACCTACGTCAAACTCGACATTTCTAGAGTCAAAACGTCACCATTACACTTGAATTATATCTTTAGGAATCTCAAAACACATCTCAATGATCAACATGATAAATGCCAGAAGAATAGATGAAGAGTGACCCAACAACTTCATTTTGGTTGACTGAAGTGGAGCTTCGGTTGGCCAAAATGAGCTCCCTTATTTCGATCGACTGAAGTGTTGTTTCGGTCGACCGGAACCTAAGATCCCTAGAGCATGCAATTGGTTCGGTCTATCGAAATGGCTTGAATGAGCCTTGACCTGATATTGAGTTGCTACCCTTGTGGAGATAAAAGAGAAACTAGAATGGGGACTTTAAAATGATCAAAACTTGTCTCAAACATTCAGAAAATGCATCTTACTTTAATCATGGACCAATATACCAACCCTTGATCCCATTACGACATCATTTGATTCAATTACATGGAATTTATACATAGTCTTTGCCGTTGTCTTAATTTACAACAAAATGAATTCAAGCTTCAAGTTATAACATGATTTACATGCCAAATAAAGTCGGTACATTGCATAACATGTTACTGTACAAATAAGTTCAAGTCTTTACAAAATGCTCTCAAAATGCCTTCAAGTTCTCTTATGTTTGTGGTGGATTGTCATCCGCTAATTCCTTGCCACGTCCTAAAAAATGTTAAATGTATTGGGGTGAGCGAATTGCTCAGTAGGTGGCACTTAAGACACGTCTCTTGTGTCCCCGTGAATCCAACCAAAGAATAGAACAAAAGAGTTCGGGGTCATGCTATGTCAGGAAGATATGACATAATCATCAGTCTCAACATAAACAATAGAATGTCATGGAATGTAATGCATGCCGATGTCGCTCCCCATTTTCAACATTCAAATCTGTTACTTTCAACTGTTAATATAACCCACCATTTGGTGACCCCGCAGCTACACGAGAGAAGGATTGGCTAGTATCCCTGACCCTTGGTACCCCCGTGGCGTCATTATGGGGCTCAGCTTGCTCAACCACGCTAGGGCAATCTCCCTAGTTCCCTTTAGGCTATATTAACACTCCGACCCTTGGGTACTTCCGCGGCGACCGGGTTTTTCACAAAACACTTTCCCCAAAATTCCCCTTTTTTCGTATCAAAACAATTCTTCCCCTTTTGCCCAATGTTAATGCATGAATATATCAATATCATGTTTACGCCCATCATTCTACAATCACTCAAAATTTAATTAGCAAAGCACAATTCATAAATTTTTTTTAATGAACCACAATATGCTTTTATACAATAAAATCTAGCATGATAGGCATATAAAGAATCAACACATAGACATGTTCTTCACAAAGATCATTTAATATCACAATTACTCAATTAGCAAATATACACATCAACTAAGCAATTAGCTTGATTCTATACAAATTAAGCATGTTAATAACCATTTATGAAGAATTAACTCACTAAAGCACAAGATTACATAGAATAAGGACCCCTACTTCAAATTGATGCAAAACCCTTAAAATGGGTCTCCAATTTCGAAATTCCTATAGAGCACCAAATCTAAAATTGTTGGTATAGATTTGAAGGCCTCGTCGTGGGCTTCGATTTGCTGCAAACGACTTCCAAAGACTCCAAGTATTGAAGGAGAAATCTTGATTCAAAGTTTGAATGAAAATAGAAAAAAAAAAAGAAAAAAAAAAGGAGACTTTGAGAGGGTGAGAGAGAGAGTTACGGGAGTGAGAGAGAGAAAATGAGAAAATGACACCAAAATGTGGTCTCTAACCCATTATGTGTGATAATGGTGGGTCCCACCACCATCTTGACTTTTTCTTTTTCTTCTGTCTTAAATTGCATCACACAATTACATGCATGTGCATCATCATATATATAGTACATAAAACACATAAAATAATATGCATAAAATGCAAATGGACCCAACCAAATTCCCCGTGCATAACAATACCGGTAACGGGTTCCACACAGAACCGTCCGGTCCGAAAAATGGAAAAATGCGAAAATGACCAACCTTGCATTTCAAAGAGTGCTGAACTCAATGAGATGCCCCAACAGCTCACCGACACACTCGGCACACCCCACGGCGTCCGGTGCGCAAAACGTGAAATGACCAAAATGCCCTTATAGAGACAAAAATTTTGAAAAAAGAGGAAACATCACATTACTCTACAGACTATGTAGGGGAATGCATTATGGGGACTCGATAAAAGACATTATTCAAGACTTAGGAAGTGAAACTTTTTTTTTGGTCCTTTTCAGAAGGTTATATAAGTCCATTATGCTCCTTTTCAGAATAATCGCTGATGTTTGTCCCTCCAGATAGCATTGCTAGAAGAAAGCAATTTTGATTATTGACTTGGAAAAATAATGTTTGGTGGTTCTTAGATGTTGCAGTAGTTTTGTTGCGTTTTCAAATGAAATTTGATGCACTTTTCCTCAATGCTTGTTCACACAAACTAGGGTTGTTATCCACATAAATGCTCTGACTGTTGTATTCTTAATAGGAAAGAGTTGTTTTGAACCACTTTGTAGATGAATTTCATCAATCCAATAGTTGTGGTTTAGTCCGTTTGAAAATTTGACCTACAAAGTCGACCTGCTTGTTCTTCTTAACCTGCTGCCCAACTTGGGAGGTAGAAAAATCAAACATTTCACAATGCAAAATTTTTTGAAGGGATTTTCAATTTTTCATGGCACTACCGGTGTAAAGAAAGTAGTTGTTTGAATATCATATGCTTCTTTGAGTAGAATTCTTCTACCCTTTTTATAACTTGGAACACAAGTGTGATAACCCAAATTTTTTTAGGATTTTAAGTTATTTTATGATTTTTAGTGATCTTATTTTAAATTGGAGATTCATGATTAAGCTATTTGATTTATTTTAGTAGCAATTGAAATTGTACTATTTTTCTTAATCTGATAGAGATTGCAGCAAAATGGAGCAGCAGGTGGACAAAAATTGTGGCAAGAGTAATGGGTTTGGTTTAGTTTGATTTTATATATGTATAAATATATATATATATATATATATATATATATATATATATATATATTTTGAGTGATGTGTCATTGAATGATGGAGTGATGGGTGGCAGAAGCAAAAGAAAAAAAAGAAAACCTGGGCTGGTAGGCAGTAGGTGGAAAAGTGAGAAAGAGAAATGGAAAAGGAGAGAGAAAAAGTTGATATGGTTGTAGGTTCCATTGGAAATTATTTAATGAGTTTTTAGTTTGTTTCATATTATATATATATATATATATATATATATATATATATATATATATATGGTACTTGATGGGATAAGAAGTGATAAGGAGTGGAGCAACGAAATGGGATAAAGGAAATGGCTTTGGCGCGGGTCTCACTTGATGGTGTAAAAGTGTTTTAATGGTTTTGATTTTTTGTCACATATTTATGTATATATATTGTTTGTTGAAGTATAAAGGTGGCAGCAAAGCAAACGTAATGAGAAATGAAATTGTAATTATTTTGGGTGGGACCCACTAGTGGAAATTTTGAGTCAAGTTCATGGACCTTGGTCTGGTCGATTCACGGGGGCTTGGTCTTGGTCTGATGGAGTGTAAATGAGAAGAAAAGAAAGAAAGGAGCAGGTTGGTAAATGATGTGAAAAGATTAGGAAGAGTAGGTGGTGGGGTTCACTTGTAATGAGTATATTGATATTTGATATTTTGATTGTGTGGTGAGCAAGTTGTTGTACGAAAGTCGGTGCATTCTCTTATATGTGTTTCTGTCTTGTGACTTAGGTAAGCAGTATAGAAAGAGTGAGTGAGCCGAGAGCGTAGAATTGCAGAGAGTGAGTTTTGAGAAAAAACAAAGGAGCCGAGAGTCTGTAGAGGTGGTCTTGGAGCTTGAAGCTTTAATGATCAGCGGGGAATAATTTTTTTCAGTGTAGGGTTCTCTATATCTTGAATGGGTTGGGGTAGTTTTGCTTTAAATGGTTTTATTAAATGTTTTGATTAAATGCATATTTATTTTGTTTATACTCACCTGTATATGTTTATTTTGTGAAGCTGTTTTATTAAACCTCCATGAAATTCTTGTTATGGTTTTTCTTACTGGGATTTTTTGTCTCATCACCCTCCAGTTTCAAGTACCGAAGATGAACGGGGATCATTAGATTCGGTCTTAGGCTGAAGAGTTGGCGTTATAGGATTTATTTTATTTATTTGGAGATTTTTTTGTGTATTTGAGGAAATTGATTTTGTATAAAAGAGGGAATTATTTTTATGATCTTGGGTGTATTTTTCGATCTATTTAGATTTGTATAAATTGAGGATTTTTTTTAGAAAATCCGGGGTGTGACAGCAAGCACTCCAGAATCAATCTTTTTGAACTTTTCAAATGTTTGTGAAAAAGAGACCTTTATATGTATATCTGTTAGAAACCAAAGTGATAACACAAGAAGTAACAAGAACTTCAGGCATGAATCTTATTAGGACGGAGCTTTGGTTGAACATTAATCTAGAATTAGAGTTATGGTTAATTCTACAATCCCATAATTAATTATTTTATGAAGAATCTTGAGACCAATATAAAATTCAACTAACTTGCACCATATATTCAAATTAATGTTTTCAATTGGCAATTCATAATGCCAAAGATCACAAGCTTCTGAGCACAATGTGACCTTACAGGTTTGGTACCAATCATGATTGATGAATAAATATTAGCAAAGAAGTACAGTGCTTAAATAGAAGCATTTCAAATCTACAAAAACTAATAGTGATTGAGAAATAAGATATCCTAAGATAAAATAAAAAAAGATGACTAATCTAAACTACCTTATAAACAGAGTCAGATACATACTGCAAATATGTTTGGTCCAGAAACCATTGGTACCTTTACCTAGCTTCCATCTCTGAAATTGTTACATCATTCAAAGAACAAATATTTCCCATGCCTTGGGAAGTATCTGCCTCTAGCACATTCCCACCAATGAAAAAGGTTGGTTGTTTTGGTGTAGAAAGTGGTGCAGTTTCCTTAGTGAGCATAAAAACAACATCTGACATGGTTGGTTTATCTATTGGATTATCTTGTACACATACGAGACCTACATGAATGCATCTCAGCACTTCATTACCTTGAAATAAATTGTCCAATGTTGGGTCTGCAAGCTCTAATCCTCTATTTTCTCTCCACAATTCCCATGCCTGAAATATATACAATATCACAGGAAAAATCATGATATGTCAAACTTTGAGTATAAATCTAATAATTTTGACCAGAAAACTAGAGACAAAATTAAGATTCAGTTAAGGAACTTACATATCCTATAAGGTTGAGTGGGCGTTCAGAATGATAGCAACTATGATTCTTCTTCCCACTTATAATCTCAAGCAACAACACTCCAAAGCTAAACACGTCAGACTTAATTGAAAAAATACCCTCCATTGCATACTCCGGAGACATGTCACCACTGTATCAGTAGTCAAGGAAATTTTTAGTACTTTAAGACATACAAATAAAATATGTTTGTGACATTACTTGTAGATGTAATATTTACTCACTATGTTCCGACAACACTTTTTGTGTTTGCTTTATATTCATTCTCCCCAAATATTCTAGCCAAGCCAAAATCTGATATTTTTGTGTTCATTTTTTTATCGAGTAATATATTACTGGCTTTTAAATCCCTATGGATTATTCTCAATCTTGAATACTTGTGAAGGTAAAGAAGTCCTTGAGCAATCCCTTCGATGATGTTGATACGATTTTTCCAATCTAAGGATGACTTTTTACTAAGATCAGTACAAGAAATTTGTAGAGTGCATATATACACACACACATGAGCTTTTGGTTGATAATCTACATTATGGGGAAAACTCAAATTACTGAAAATTGCTAACCGAATAAGAAGGAATCCAGGCTTTTCTTGGGCATGTACTCATAGATTAGCAGCTTTTCATCCCCTTCAATGGAACATCCCAAAAGCCTAACAAGATTATTGTGTTGGAGCTTGACAATGAGTAAAATCTCATTCTTGAACTCCACTAATCCTTGTCCTGAACTCCTTGAAAGCCTTTTTATGGCCACGACTTGTCCATCAGGAAAGTTTCCCTGAGATATGGTAAAAAATTATGATATATATCTAATCATTTTGATGAGAGGGTCTCCAGAATTTACCTTATAAACAGGTCCAAAACCACCCTCTCCAAGCTTATTTTTATCTGAAAAATTGTTTGTAGCAACCACTATGCTTTGGAAGTTGAATACTTGCAACTCATGGTCCTTCTTGGTGTCCTTATATTTTGTAGGAACTCCGAGCTCAAACAATATTTTTGTTTTTTTCTTATCTGTTAGATTTACATTGAAGAATAAGACATTGAGAAGTGATTAGCAATCATATTAGAGTGGCAAAATATCATTTTTAGGTCATGAGAAATTACCTTTTTTTACCCTTCTTAATCTTAAATAGCAAAAGTAGCAGAATAAAATTGTAACTAGAGCTCCTCCAAACGCGATGGCAAACCATTTCCACCACTTCATGACTGTATAGACAAACAAACAATTATTGGTATTCAATACTGGCAGTTGTGTTTTACATGCTTCTTTAAATATGAAGTACACAACAGTATGCTATGCATTTTGTTTTGGTGCGTAAAATGAGAAGTACATTGCCAAGTTGCATCAACATATATTACTGTAACATCACACTTTGGAGCTAAAAAGGATAGATATACGGGGTGAGCAATTTCTGGCATGCATGTGAACAATTTTTGGCGTGCCTGTGATTTCTCAAAAAACTGTCCAGACTCGGATGGATTTCAATATTCTGAATATATATGTTGAAGATGAAGGCATCAGTGTTAAGCCTCCAACGGCTATATTGATGGAGGGTAAAGATGACTGGAACTCAATCATGTCTTGTATGTTATTTCATTAACAAAAGGCTCCTAGTTCCGGTGGTAAACTCTATTGCTATGAAACTTATGGAGATTTGATGGCTTGCTAGAGGTATTGTGCATTGAAAATGGACATTTCTTCCTCAAATTCTCAAATGAAGACATGGATGGGGTTCTCGATAGGGGCCCTGGCACTTTCTAGATAGACACATTATCTTAAAGAAGTGGCATTTTGGTCTTCAGTCCAGTGCGAGAAGATTGAGAAGGTCCCTATATGGGTTAAAGCAAATGGAAGTTAGGAAAGCCATTGGAATGCATAACATCAACCTTCTTTGTATTGTGGAGACCAAAGTTAGGAGGGCCAACATGGAAAGAATGTTATACTCTTGCTAAAATGGGTGGAATGTTATCCACAACTATGACCGGTCTACAAAGGTAGAATCTTGGTTTGCTTGAACCCTAGTGTTTTTAATGTCCACGAGATTAACAAGTCACACCAAATTATTACTTGTTCTATTCGGTCGATAAATAACTAGTTTTCTGATGTTGTTTTTGGTAGGATATGTCCCAAATGGTTGAAGATTGCAGAGTTTTGAAGAAGTCCGACCGGTTGCACTTTTGTGGACCAGTCGCACTTTCTCGGCTGTGGAGTTCTATAGAGTTCAACCGGTCCCACTTTTGTGGACCGGTCGTACTTTCTCAGTTGTGAAGTTCTACAAAGTCCAACCGATCGCACTTGTCTGAAAGTTACGGGATTTGTTTTCATGTATGAGAATTTTCTCCTAAGGAATGTAAAACACTAAACACCAAAAATAAAAGGAATTCGAATCAGTCTAAACTTTTGACAAAATTGTAGAAATATTCAAAATTGGTCAAAAACAATTTCTGAATCCTAAACGATAGAATTTGGCTGAAAAGCAGCTTAAGTTTTGTGAGTTAGGCCGTTTCCAATTAGAGTAGGGTCTTGTCGGGTCAAAATGGAGTCAATGTACTTGTCAAAACTACTCCGAAAAACTGTGTCAACCCACCTGTTTGGCCTTTTGGCTGTTTGAATGAGCTTAGAAATCATCAGCAACCTGTTCTACATTAGGGTGGATTCAGTGTGTAATGCAGCAAGCCCTATTTGGGTCAATCTACACTTAGTTGAGGCCTTAGAAACGAACAAAGCTTCCGAGAAATCAACACTCACTACTGCTAGGGGGTGTTACTCATAACCAAATTAACTTGAAATAGACACCTTAGCCATCCACAATTTTTCCAGTGGAGGATGGAGAGTGGAGGCTTCTTACATGGCAGACACTTCTAACAATAGGTTCCTTCTAAAGACGCAAAAAACTAGTATTACCAACTAAATGGGGTGCTACGTGACCCATTATATTATTTTGCACCTGCACGTGAGAATCAAACATAAATCCTCATGGAGAATGGAGGCTTCTTACATAACACACATTTCTAACATTAGGTTGCTTCCACAGACACTAAAAACCAGTATTACCAGCAGGGGTGCTACCTGACCCATTACATTATTTTGCACTTGCACCTGAAAATCGAACATAAATTCAGTTCAAACTTTTTTTGTAGCAAATACTTATTTGTGCTATTGAACGAGTAACTAATGGAAGATTTAGCTAATTCAAGGACACTTGGAACATAATATCTGAGGATGCAAGAAACCTCTCTTCTTATTAGGAAAGTCCTTCTTACACTCCAAACAATATGCATCTTTCTCTTTCTCTCACTTCTATTTATAGAAGTGTACATTTGCCCTAAAAACTTTATCTCAACTCTTGGTGCTATACCAAGGTGCAATCCTCAAAACCAAGTCACTTGTAAACTCCGGGGCACTACACCAAGGTGGAAAACCAGATTCACAGCGATTTTGGAACATGAGGAACCTCTAGAGTTAGCCTGGAATGACTATGAAGAAGCAAAAAACAAGGAAAAGAGCATAGACCAGCCAACAATCTATAGTGATCATGAACCTTACCTTATGAATATATGAGTTATAATTAAACAAGAGCAACAAGATTAGGGGCACATACCAGTTCCGCTTTGAGTCCCATTACACACCGATGAATAAGGTTGATCCGCGCAGTAGCATGTAAACAAATTGGAAATTGAATCATGCCCACATTGCCCACCAGATTGGATACATTGGCTGCAGGATGTATCATTTGTCTTCCACAGCAACCCAAAACCACCGTCAAGAGCTGCTTCAATACTTATTGAAGGTGGAGTGCTAGTTAAATTATCAACTGCTGATTGATAAACTTGAACTATGGTTATGTTACTGCACGTTGACGCTTCACTATTGCTATTGGTGCTTGAATAGGACACATAATAGCCGACGTTGCTGCTATTACCGTTCATTGTGCAATCAAAACGTTAGACAGTACCGGTTGTGTTTGGCCCGGAGTCAAAGGGCAACCATAGTACAGAGTCAAGTTCTGGGTATCGGAAGAATAGCTGAAGAGATTGGAATCCAAGGTAGCATTATAGAGATTTCTTGGACAAACATTATTCCAGAAATCCTCTCTAGCAACTGTGAGAGTCTGTGCTGTGTTTTCGATTCCTAGCACTCGGTATGTTGTTGACAGAATTTTGAGCAGTGTGGCATTTTCTTGGCAACTTAGCTCGAAACCTGGGTAACCACAGTACTCAGGTCGATTCTCTCCCCAGAAAGGATAGACAATGCTCCTAAGGTTTCCACACCGAAGGAACTGATCACGGCAGGCCATAAATTGCTCATCATCGGCACAAAGACATTTAGGGGCGTGAAGTAAAATGAAGATCACGAACATAAAGATTAGAAAGGAGGTTGGGAAGAGATGGGGACGCATTTTTCAGAGAGAGATGAGCTATGAAAATTTGAAGCTACCTAAATTCATAGAGGAGATGGAGTACTAACTACTACATTTCAAATTCATAGAGGGGAAGGGGAACTGCTCAATTTTGAATATTCTTTTCTCGTCAACTGTTATATTTCTTGTCAATTGTTAAAACAAGAAAAATGACCCTTGAAAAAGTTGAGCAATTTTGTTGAAAATTATGCAGAGAGAGAAAGATCAAAGTAGGGGATAGACATTGATGAGTCTTACATGAAAGATAATATATTATCTAGGATACGACATACACCACATGTTAGTTATGCCATACACCGCATGTTAGTTATGTCTTGAATTGATGGCACTGGGTCCAATTGAGTTTGATTGTTTACGTTTGATTTTGTTTTTTTTGGGAATTTTATTCCTAGCATAGTTTATTAACGTGGGTAGTGGACATGTATAGGTCATAGGAATACAGATATTTTGTTTTTGTTTTTGTTTTTCAGTGTGGAAGGGAGAAAATATTTGTTGATGTGGGGTCAGTGTTTGGGTCTCACAAGTCTGCAGGCATTTGTTTGTTTTTGGGCTAATTTTTTTATTTTTTTTTTGGTTTTTTCAGTGTGGAAGGGAGAAAATATTTGTTGATGTGGGGTCAGTGTTTTGGTCTCACAAGTCTGCATGCATTTGTTAGTTTTTGTGCTAATTTTTTTTTTCTAAATAATTTTTATTGCTAAGTTGGCCTCTTTTCTTAGTCACATCGCTCATATAAGTTGGCTTTTAGAGTAATGATATTTTTTTTCCAAAGTATTGGTGAAGAAAATAAGTCCGAATTTGACTTGGCAGCTTCAATCCATTACACATAAACTGCATCTTAAAAAAAAGAAAAAATGAACTCTCTCACCACAATAAATGTTTCATATTTTCCATGTTAAGGTAAAACTTTAAGTTACTCAAAATATTTACTATTAGGTCAGTGGTTAATTTTATGTTGTATTTGGTATGCAGGAATAGAATAGAATACAAGAACGGAATTCAAGTATGGAATGTAAGTGAGTGAAATGAGAATGGGAAAGAAATAGAATGATCATTCTCTTTTTATTGTTTGGTTCTAAATATGAAATGCGTAGGAATGGAATGCTAATAATCATTCTAGTGATAATTTAAAATTTAAAATAGAATGAATGCCCCACTTAGTGACAAATATATATTAAATTAACAAAATAACATTCTTTTCTAATGTTTTTTTTTTAAAAAGAAATCACGGCAGTAGTAGATGGCGGTGATGATGGTGGTGGAGGTGGAAAGTGATAGTGGTGTAAGTGGTGGTGTTAGAAAGAAGCGGTGGTGGAAGGTGCTAATAGTGGTGGTGGCTGAAGGCGGCAGTGGTGTTGGTGGAAGGCGGTTGCAGTGGCGGTGGTGGAAGTAGTGGTAGTCATGGTGGAAGCAAGGATGTTTGCGAAAACCGGACGCCAAGGAGTCGTTTTGTGTCCGTGGCGATAATGGGATATAGAGGGAACGTAGGGAGACTGCCCTATGCGTGGTTAAGTTAATTAGGCCCCAAATGATGCTAAGGAGTTGCCTTAGGTTAGGGATAATTACCCAATCTTTTTCTCATGGTGCCCGGGAGTTGCCTTGGACCGGGTTACATTAACGGTTTGACGGTTGTTGTGATTGGCAAAAGTTTTGGAAATAGGGAATGACATGGCATAACATTGGCATTGCACAACCTTGCATTTATTGTGCTTGGATTGTATGGTGATGAGTATGTGATAATTTTCCCTAAATTAAGTATGATCCTATCTTCTATATCCTATGCTTTGTAGGCGATTCACGTGATCATTAAGGAGTGCTTTTTATGCACTTCCTACTGAGCCGTCGTGCTCACCCTTTATCATCATATTTTAGCTTATAGCAAGGGCATAATTGAAGGAGGACCCTCATAAGCTTAGTTAGGGTCAATGATTACATTCTTCTTTGTAAATCTTTGTATTTAATGATTAAACTTAGTTAAAGATTTGTAAAACATTTGTAATTGAGGCATTATGAGCCTTAACTTGCCACCATATTCTTTTGGTATCAATTTGATGTAAACTTAAGTCATGTAATGTCAACTAATGCAAGTATGAACCATGTTGCTAGTTTGGAACGATTTGAATATATAAAGATTCACATGATGCCCATATTGATGTTTAATGCAAATTAATGATTGACTATATATACTTGTTGTGAGTCGGCAGGACATTGAAGGTCAAAATAACCAAATGAAGCAATGAAAATAGGTTTCGGGGGCACAAAGGGCAAAGAGCCCCATTTTTTGGGTAGTGATGAGCGCTCGTCCGACATTGGGTCTGCGCGTGGTGTGCAATTGTGCGTGTAAGGGCGCACTAGGGGGATGTCCTACGAGCGTTTGTAAGATGCAGACAAGCGATCATAGGACATAGACGAGCGCTCATTATTAGACTTTAGCTACTGTTTTTTTTTTTTTTTTTACCTCCTTCGTTTACTTCGAGCCTCTTCGTGTGGGTCCAACATGGCCTTTAGGATGTACGGGACCCAATGGCCGCTCCCGGTTACGAGTTGAATGGTCCAAAATGTCATTTTTACCCTTTTTATCTATAAAACGGGCAACTTTGAACCAAATTATTTTCTTTCAATTCCAAATGACTTGTTATGACTTAGAAGGTTATTATAAGATCCCCAATGCACTGCACGAAATTACCCTTTTTACCCTAATTGAACCGGTTTAAGGATTAAGTCGTTTCGTTTAATCGTAAGTGATTCATATTGGTTAGCAATGAGTATTATGACATTATCATGGCCTTTAGTGCACGGTATTGGTCAAATAGACCATTTTACCCTTTGGTGGTTTCGGGTCAGGTTAGGACCCGGTTAGTGTTTCGGACCCCAGGTTTGGGTCGTTACAAAATTAGTATCAGAGCTCTAGGTTTGACCACCTAGGGACGACCGGAATGGGTAGACGGGTATTGGTGGAGCATGTGGTATTGGATTGTGTATATGTACCGTACATAGAATTTTTATTTATTTTTATTTTTTGTATTGTAATGGAATGGATAATGATAAAACATGCTCTATATAATTTCGTGTTAATTGTTTAAGTTAAAAAGCATATTACAATGAGAAGTATGATTATGTGTTAAGTGCTACGCATACTATGTGTTATATGTGTTTTACTTGACGAGCATGTTATGCGTTGTTGCCTACTTGTCATGCAAGTGTATGTGTTGTTGCTATAGGTCCTATGCTATTTATCTAGTTTGTCTATGCATAGTTGAGTAGGTGTTGCATCTTTGTCATGATTTGGCATATGTGAGCGTGAACAATGTGGTTAGTGTCATCTTTTGTAGTTCGGATCGACTTTAGTACGTTGTCATTAGAGGTCTTAAATGTGTTGTCATTAAAAGTCTTAAAGTCATATATTATCTTTCCCCGGTATAGTGGTTGAATTCTTTGGATGATGAGCTGGTAGAGCTATATGTGTGGGTCATAGATTTTTTATGTTAGCCATGATATTATAGGCACAAATCATGGTATGTGACTTACCATATTATCTGAGATATGATAGCCACAAATCATAAATTTGACTTTATTTACGCATATATCTAGACATGAAATATGCAATAATTTTATTCAGTTTCCTTTATTGTAATATTAACATGTACTCTTTAGTATATAAATATGAGAGTTGTGAATGAGTGTATTTACACATCATTCATGCCTTTACGCAATTCTCTCATTTTTCTTCTTTTTATATTTTTACTTGGTATTAGAGCCAGGGTGGTTCGACTGCAATACGGGCATTGCGAGTTCGGCACCACCCATTCAGGAATGGTTTAAGGTCACATCACCCATCTGGAGGTGTCGAGTAGGCAGGTGTTCCGACCTCAATGAGGACGTTGCGAATTTGGCACCACCTATTCAGAAATGGTCTGAGGAGACATAGTTGTTTCTTTTTATGGTCTGATGAGACATTGTTGGTTCTTTCATCTATATTAAACATATGTATGAAGGGGAATGGTCTGAGGAGAGATTGTTGATTATTCTATCTACATATTTTAAACATGTATATGAAGGGAAATGGTTTGAGGAGATATTATTGGTTGTTTACGGTCTGAGGAGACATGTTTGGTTGTTTCTGGTCTGAGGAGACATTGTTAAATGTTTATGGTCTAAGGAGACATTTTAATTTGTTGATCGGCACTTCATTTGATAGAAAAACATCATTAATTAGATTTGCATGCGTTAGCAAGACCGTGTTTAAGGATGCATTGTGCAAGTTGGCAATCACATCCACACACCAACTTGAAGGGAGTGTTAGCCATGATATTATAGGCACAAATCATGGGATGTAACTTACCATATTATCTAAGATATGATAGCCACAAATCATGATTTGACTTTATTTACGCATATATCTAGGCATGGAATATGCAATAATTTTATTCAGTTTCCTTTATTGTAATATTAACATGTGCTCTTTTTAGTATATTAATATGAGAGTTAAGAATGAGTGTATTTGTATATCATTTAAGCCTTTACGTAATTCTCTCATTTATCTTCTTTTTATATTTCTACTCTTTCCGTGTAACCAAATTTGGTTAGAGGTTGTGGGACGTGTGTAGTACTTGTGGTATGTGACTTAAGGAAGAATTGACTATTAAGAGAAGAGTGTGGTTGAGAAAGGTAGGTTTCCATCACTGATGGTCGTGTTGGAATTAGGACACGGTGTCCTACTTAGATTTTCATCTTTGGAAGACAGGAGGTTTCAAGTTGAGATTAACCTTAAGTACTGTAATGATCTTGATTTTTCCCTTTTTTCATTTTCTGGAATTTTTTTTTTTTTTTTTTCTGAATTATTTTCGTTTCGTCTCGTTTTGCGTTCCAGACACTACAAGGTGTGCCGGGTGAGTTGCAAGAGTCAGTTAGGGCATTTCCTTAAGTTCAGGACTCTTGAAAATGCATTGGTTGTCATTTCGGCATTTTTTTCATTTTTCGGGCCAGGAGGTCCGAGGTGGGGCCCATTATTGGAGTCGTTGAGCACGAGAATTGTGTTTTGGGTTCATTGCATTTCATCTATTATTATTTAATGCATTTTTTTATGTGGATATATGGTTATTTATGTGGTTGTAATTTATGTTTAGTGTTT